TTATAAATCAATTATATTTCAATTCAACAAATTAAAAAAAAGAAAGTCCTCACAAAAATGAAACTATGATCAGCTGACTGTTCAGTGATCTCTGAATAAACAGGAATGGATGATCTTAGTGACCAGAACTACCTAGCTATGATAAGATAATACACTACTCAAGGAACACAACTCTCCAGGTACCAACAGTAATACAGGCAAATTGACATAATTTGTCTAGAAATGGACCATTAGGAAAACATAAAATTGGTTATACTTTTCTGTAATCTATCCCATGCTTAGATTATGTTTCTGTCTTTTCATCCATACCTCTCACTTCAATAACCCTTTCTTGAGTTAACAGTGATTTCATACGTAGACTGACAGACTTTTGTTTACCCAAATGGGATCATACTGCACATATTATTCTGTGATCAGCTTTCCAAAATATCATCAATATTCCTCTTCTAATTCTTTAAAAATTTTTTATTTATTTGGCTCTGCTGGGTCTTAGTTGCAGCATCCCTGACCAGGGATCAAACCCAGGGCCCCTGCACTAAGAGTGCAAAGTCTCAGCCACTGGACCACCAGGGAAGGCCCTCCTCTTCTAATAACCTAAAATAGATATACTCTAACATCTTAAATAAAAGTAGAACTATTTCATTTACTCTATTATTTAATTTATATATTGTGTAAATTACATGAAATATTATATAATTTCCCATAGTTTGAATATACTATAATCCAAGCATTTCTAATTCAGGCTGTCTTCAGTTTTCATCACTACAAATAAAGATGCAATAAGCATTCTTGTGGTTACATTCTTAAGTACTATAGTCTCTTGCAGCAAAAGTTGGATTTGGGGATCAAAGCATCCTAAATATTTTTTGCCAAATATTTTTAATTTTGATAAATATGAGCAAATTGTCTATTTCCCTATAGTCTCCATAACACTGTTTGTGTTCTTGTTTTTTTTTTTTTTTTTTAAGTTATTTGGCTGCACTAGATCTCGCCTGCAGGATCCTTAGTTTCAGCTTATGAAGTCTTAGTTGCAGCATGCAAGATCTAGTTCCCCTACCAGAGTTCCAACCAGGGCCCCCTGCATTGGGAGTGCAGGGTCTCAACCACTGGACCACCAGGGAAGTCCTTGTTTCTGTCATTTTTTATTTTTGCCAATACGCTAGACAGAAAACAGTATTTCATATTTGCTTAGATGAGGGTTTGATTCCTGGGTTGGGAAGATCCCCTGGAGGAGGGCATGGCAACCCACTCCAGGATTCTTGCCTGGAGAATCCCATTGTCAGGGGCGCCTGATGGGCTACAGTTCAAGGGGTCCCAAGGAGTCAGCCATTACTGAAGCAACTTAGCACTCATGCACATTTATTTGATTAATGAGATTGAGCATATTTTTCTCATTTATGGTCCATTTGAATTTCTTTTCCTAAGAGAGCACAAAAAATAGTGGTTACATATGTAAATACTGGAGCTAGTTTTGCCATTCTGTACTCAAGTTATTTTGCCTTTGTGCCTCAGTTTTCCAATTTTTAAAATGTGGACAATAATAGTACCCACTTTTAGGGTTATTATGAGGATTTGATAAATTCATTATCTGACAAAGTATAAAATAGGACCTATCCACATTCTTTGCCCATTTTTCTATGGGATTGTCTTTTTCCTATCAATTTATGGGGCATTCTTTTCACATTAGGAATATTAGCCTTTTACTATCTTACTTGTTACAAACAAACTTCCTTCAATTCTTTTATTATAATGCTTTTTAATAAGTAATTTTTACTAAAATTTATGCACTTAAATGACTACTTTTTCTTTCTAGCTTGTTTCCCATATTGCTTAGGAAGTACTTTTTTACTCAAGGTTGTACAACTTTTCTCCTAAATTTTCTCTAAACACACACACACACACATATTAATATTTGAATTGTATCTTAGAATTCCCCGCTGGTCTAATGTTTAGGACTCCATGCTTTCATTGCTGAGGGCCTGGGTTCAATCCCTGGTTGGGGAACTAAGATCCCACAAGCCATGTGGTGTGGCCAAAACCAACCAACCAAACAAACAAACAAAACAAAAACCCACAATCAACAATAAATAAATAAATAAGTTCTATCTGGAATTTTTTCATATATGGTATAATGCAGGGGTGGGCTTCCCAGGAGGCTCAGTGGTAAAGAATCTGCCTGAAAATGCATATGATGCAAGAGACATGGATTCAATTCCTGAGTCCGAAAGATCCTCTGAAGAAAGGAATGGCAACCCACTACAATATTCTTGCTTGGAAAATCCCACAGACAGGAACCTGGCGGGCTACAGTCCCCGGGTCATAATGCAGGAGATTAGCTAAGTGGTCTTCCTATTCCCTAGACATTCAACTGTGCCAGCAATATTTCCCCAGTGATTTGAAATGCTCCCTCTGTACTACACTCTATCTGATACACAGCCAAAACCATACTCTTGTGGCTTTTTTTTTTTTCTGGTCTGTTTTGAGAAGCACAGAGGTCTTAGTTCCCAGACTAGGGATCCAACTGGAGCCTTGCAGTGAAAGCAAGGAGTCTAACCACTGGACCGCCAGGGAATTCCCTATGCTCTTGCTCACAGTTAGCTTCATAGTAAGTTTTAACATTTGGTAAAGCAAATTATACTTTTCTTTTCATGTTCATGGTCTTCTTGGTTAATCTCCAACATATGAACTTAAAAAAAATTCTTGTCCACTACTACTCTATGCACCCAAGGCAAAGAGGAGGGTAAAACCAACCACAGTGGGATTCTATTTGCATTATTAATAGTAGATTAAGTGACTTTTTTTATATTAAGTCCTCCTATCCAGGAACATGGAGTCTTTTTTATTAGGCTTTGGCTTATATCTTTTATTAAAATTGCATAGTTTTGTTTCCTATAGCTCCTGTGCCTTCCATTTTTGTTTTCTTTTTTACTTTGGTCTCTGTTATGAATATGATATTTTGTCCATCTCCAGTCTAACTAGACATTGCTTAGTCAGAAGAAAAATATAAATTAAGTTTGATACCTTCATTCAGTCACTAAATTCTCTTGCTAATTCTACTAGCTTACTCTTTATAGATTTTTCTAGGAATACAATCTTATCTCCTTGAAAAATAAAGATGATTTTTTTCCAGATGTTTATCCTGGGAAGCTCTTTAGCTGTGTGATTGTGCTGCTATTTTCTGTAGATGCTACTTAACTGCTGGCAATTGTTGCTGCTGCCCAAAGCTACTCTGCCGTGGCCTCCAATGAGACAGAAGCTTTCTAAGTGAATATCCCATGATTGCTTTGTTCAAGTGTCATGGATGACAACACAATACAGTGGTTCTTGGTCTCTCAGGTCTCACATAGTTCAATTCAAAGAATCATTAAATACATTCTTGAGCTCACTGCTGTAATCATACCTATCACATTTCCCTTTGGTCTCTTGCAACAGAGTAAGTATGCCCTTACTCCGGGAGTCCTGTCTGGGCATACTTACTCTGATATTACTCTCACTCTTGGAGAGATATACTCAGAGAACTTCTCTGACCAACTTAATGAGCTTGTTGGGTCACTTTCATTCACATTACCCAATATTATCTTCTTTATAGCATTAATCATATTGGTAGATGTATTAGTTATTGGTTTATTATTTGTCTACCCAAGATAGACCATATATTAATACAAAACAATTAACCTGATGAGATCAGGGAATTTTAATGTCTTCCTCACCCTTTCACCTCCTAATATCTAGAGTTGTAAACACCTAGCAGGTCTTCAATAAATACTTGCTTAATGAATGAATGTTGAGTTTTCCTGAAAAGGATCTACATCATGCTTAAGTAATTTTATACCAACTTTTCTGAGCGTTGCTAAAGATCCAGATAATTTTTCAGTTTAAGGGACAAATCAGATTATTTCAAGTGAATGGGTTTTCTGAAACTCAACATATAAAGAAACTCAGAAAGGGTTATGAGACTGTAACAAGACAGATAACTCCCCAGGCAGGGATAGACATCTGTCCTTCTACCTTAATGCTCAAAGTTTGCGGAGATTAACTATGATCTACTTAATTGCTTTGTCGTTTTTCGTTTCTGATAAAGGTTATCTGAATTCTATTTCAAATGCTGCAGCAATATGTTTACCACTTTTTTTTTTTTTTACTGAAACTTTATGGGAACAGAAGGGGAAAAGCTGCAGATTACTCAACCATCAGAAATTGAAGGCAAGTTTCAGCCCATATATTATCTTGTTTTCGAGAACCGATCAGTCTCCCCAAACGGCTTGACCTTACGGTATGATCTTGTGAAGTAGTTTTTAGACCACTCTACCACATTCAGTTTACCAAGCCAGACGCATGTACGGTAAAACTCTCAAATTGATGTCAAAAATCATCACTTGAGGCATTAATTCAAAGTTATCTGGAAAGGCATTTTCAGTGGTTCACAGCAAGAAGGTGGATAGGTTGGCATTGAATTAGCGTAGGCAATTTTGCTCTGACTGTGGGCAAACCTCCCCTAGCTCGCCATTTAACTTTTGTTCCCTCATCTCCCAAGGCCGCGAAGATCTCGTCTAGTGCTCTTTCCACTGCTCCAGGCCGAGGCCGACACGGAACCTGATCCCGCAGCACCTCGGCCTCGGCCAGCGGGGGCGCGCTCGCCCGGTGCATTGTGGGCTCTGTAGTCCAGCCGGAACCTGTCCGCACCTACAAGTTCCTTGAGTGCGCTTCCCTTCCTCTGCCTGGACCTAGTCCCCTTCCGCGGCTTCCGCTGGGTCTCCCGGGTCCTGGGCGCGAAGTTCCGACAGGTCAACTGTTTCCCTCCAGGGCACAGGAGGCGGAAGCCGGAGGGGCGCGGGGAGGAGCTACGCGCGTGAGGGTGAACGCCCGCTCTACGTGCTCGTTCGCCTTGCGACCGCTGCGCGCGAGCCCGGTGTCCCCGCGGCGGGCAGCAGTAGCGGCGGCGGAGGTGTCGGTAGAACGCGGAGGGGGCGGAGGGAGTCCGCGGCGGCGGCGGCGGCGGCGGCGGCGGCGGCTGCAGCAGCGAAATGGCGGAGACCGTGGCGGACACCCGGCGGCTGATCACCAAGCCGCAGAACCTGAATGACGCCTATGGGCCTCCCAGCAACTTCCTCGAGATCGATGTGAGCAACCCGCAGACAGTGGGGGTCGGCCGGGGCCGCTTCACCACCTACGAGATCAGGGTCAAGGTGAGGCCGTCTTTTCCCCCTACGGAGAGACTCCTTCTGTGGTCCCGGCTATCCGCCGCGGACCCTGGAGCGCAGACCCTCAGACGGCCACGGCCGCCCAGGCGGGGCCCCCTGCTGACACGGTGGGGCAGACTTGTCCACGGGCGGGGTCCGGGCCAGGGCCCGTCTTCATGTAGGGCTTCCGAGCAGGGCTTGGATGGGGGCTTGTAGGGTCAGCTGAGGCCAGCGCTCGCACTTGAAGGAGGTACTCGGAGAAGAGGGCGTGGGTTAAGCGCCGCTGGCCCCTCAAGCAGCTGATCTGGGAATGACATTTGAGTTGGAAAGGGGTAGATCTTTCGAGAACACAGCCCTTCATCGGGAACGGAGCTATCTGACTGAGAAAGAGGGTTTGCGCAAAGTTGAAGCCAATCCGGTTTTCTTTTCCTGGAGACTATTCCCCTCCACCCCCCACCCCCGAGTTGGCCAAGTCAAGCTGATTCCTTTCAGGCCCTTCCGTGCTACCAAACTCACCTAGATTGTACGCTTTTCTGAACAGAACCTCAGGAAAGTTTACAAAAGCCTGTCAGATTTGGTAGGGCTGAGCCAGGTGAGAAAACGGTGATGGAAAACGACTGACCTTAGTATTTTGGGCCACCATCGTGCTGATGAGTGGGAAGTGTTGCCTGCCTCACAATCAAGACTACCACTGCTTTAAGAAAAGCCTGTTCATTTAGGGATCTTGCTCTCCTGATTTCGAGATTTGCACTGCACTGAAGGAAAGAATCAGCTGAAGTAGAAGCACATTTATAATTTCATAACCGGTATTTGTTGGCAGTAAGTAATTCAGATGATTTGAAAGATGCTAATTGAGAATAGTGCTTCACTTTCCCTTTACTTCAGAATTAAAGAATTTCCTCATGTATGGAAGTATCTTTAAAAATTAGTTACAGTGAAACGAATCTAGCTGCTAATGACAGTAACAAATTACTAAAAATTAAGCCTAAGAATTTGGGTTTCGAGTAATCAAATTTTATGTAACAAGTTACTATTAACATTTAAGTGGAGTAATTTCTCATTAACTTTCTCATTTTTTGTGTGGTAAGATATAACAGAATATTATACCATCTTAACCATTTTTTAACTGTACAGTTTAGTAACGTTCAGTTTATTCACTGTTGTGAAACTTAGACACTTAAATTATTTACTTATGTGTTGCTATAAAAAAATGTAATAATCATCCAACTTAATATATGAAACTAACCTGTTACATGTTATAAGTCACCCTTGTCTCTCTAAGGATGTGTAAAACGTGTCACAGGCAGTCTTGTTACAGTGAAACTGCAGAATCTGAATTCCAGTGTACCTAAGGAAGCACATTGTCACGTAAGCCTAGTGAAAACAAATGAGGCATTTTTTCCCCCTCAACTTTTGGAATGGTTTTGGATTGTCTTTAATATATCGCAGGTTGTTAACTGAAAAGAACTTCTTTTACTCTCATCCACCAGCATATTTTCCTTTATTTCTTGTGCTACAGCAGAGCTTGGTATTCCTGTTTCTGAACTTCCAGAGCTAGTACTTCCTGTCACCCAACTGAAGTGGAATCTCCTGCCTACATTTCCTCATTTAATAACTTTGTGCTTGTCATGCTGAGTTCTTACATAGTGAATGGACTTTAAGTATAATAACAATTTTTTTTAAAAAATTCATCTGATTTTTATTACCAAATAGCTTATGTGACACTTTAAATTGTGCTTATGGTATTGTTATTTGTATTTTGAAGAAAGTAATCCTTTTTAAGAGTGAGTAATGACAGAGTATACACACCTACACTGGTGTGTTAGATTATGTACACCAGTTTGTTGTGTGTTAATAACTGTTAAGTCATAAGTGCTTATGCCTTCTAAAAAAATATAATTGAGTTTCTAATGCTTATGAAATGCCATTGGGGATTCTCTTAATAATGTAATGTGTTAACTTAAAATGCAGGACACCATATAGTAAGATATTAGGACTTATTTTAGCAGCATGTGATTTTTGAGAGTAATTAAGGTAAAACTGCCAATGAGATGAATACGTGAGTCATTTTGTCATTTATTACTACTTTTCTAAACTGTTCCTTCTCTCCCTAGCCCCTGCTGCTTGCCTTCTGCTGTTGAATTTGACACGTGGCAGATCATTTTATGTTCCAAAGTTTGGACCCTTAAACTATCCTATGGTTATACTTTAATTTTAGTCTTGAGAAAAATGTTCCATTTTATAGGATCTGATTGAAATTACTCTAATTCACAGAGTAATTTTATCTGGATGGTGGCACTTTAGAATGCAAGTTTCCCAATCTCCATTTATCTTTTGGTTTGAGGGTAGTGTTTAAGACTATTAGGATCTCTTGATTATCTCTGTGCTTTTGAAAATAACTGATACAGTATTAATGTTTTTTAAAATCATTCTAATGGTAGGCAGAGCAGAGAGCACCATAAGTGATTAAAGGATTTGGAAAGCTCAGGTTCTAGAATTATTTTGGCATATTAAAGAGAAAGCTGAAGGGGAAATTCAGTCACTGTTTATGAAGTTTGTGCTACAATGTGGCTTTAATTTTCTGAAGATTTTAAGTTAATTAAGGTGTATTGTACCTAGAGAAAACTGCTTTGAACCAGAATGAGTTTAAGGATCTTTCTTGAGCTCTGAGTTCAAAGAATAACTGAGTAAGGTGCAAAATCTAAGGTCCACTTCCCTTCTGTAAAATAGGTGTGCTAATAATAGTACAGTTGGTTCTTTGTATTTGAGGATGCTGGTTCTGCATATGAGTACTCAACCAACCACAGATCTAAAGTAGTTGGAAAAAAATTCCAGAAAGTCCCAAAAAGCAAAACTTGAATTTGCTGCACACCAGCAGCTCTATATATATAACATATGCATTGTGTGTTAGGTATTATAAGTAACCTAGAGATGGTTTAAAGTGAAAGAGAGGATGTGCGTAGGTTATATGCAAATACTAAACCGTTTTATATAAGGAACTTGAGCATCTGCAGATTTTAATATGGAGGTGTGTGTGTCCTGGAACCAGATCTCCCATGGATACTGAGAGATGACTGTACCTACCTCAGAGGACTAAATGACATAATGCACATAAATCTCTTTGGCACAGTAATTGGTGCTAAAGTGATTGAGTGCTATAATAGGCACTCAAAAGTTACTTCTTTCTACATACAGCTACTTCTAAATTAAAGGTTGTTGATCAGCTGACTACATTCTCTATGTTAATGTGCAGGTGAGCTACTAAAATCATTGGATTTTCTTATCAAGAAATCTAATATATTTTGTGTCATTCCATGTGGAAAGTTGTGATGCCATTCAGAATGTAGTAAATTTCACACTTAAGACCAAAAATATTTAATAGAAGTCTCCATATTTTAAGGTGAGGGCTTCCCACATGGTGCTAGTGGTAAAGAATCTGCCTGCCAGTGTAGGAGACCCAAGAGACTCAGGTTCAGTTTCTGGGTCGGGAAGATCCCTTGGAATAGGAAATGGCACCCAGTCCAGTATTCTTGCCTGGAAATTCCATGAGCAGAGGAGTCTGGTGGGCTACAGTCCATGGGGTCACAGAGAGTCAGACACAACTGAGCAAGTAAGCACTTAAGCACACACAGACATATTTTAAGGTAGTATGTTTCCTATGATTGTGCTAGTATTGATATTTTTTTTTTCAGTTTGAGATCTGATTGACATATAAAATTGTATTTAAGGTATACAACATAATGATTGCTATATACATATACATAAGTGATTACCACAGCAATTTTAGTTAACATTATCACCTCACATGCTTCTAAAAGTAGCTTTTTTAAGTTGAGGCATATTGAAACATAAAACTGAATAGTAAAGTTTACTAATAAACCTTGTACCAGGAAAGATAATGAAAGTAGCACCTTGATAGTATTTGCCATTCTAAACTTGTATTGGTGATTCTTCTCTGGATGAGTCCTCTCATTTTAAATTGAGTCATTAATATTCTCATCAGAAATAAATTAATTTTTAGACGTGTTTTTAGGATTTATGTGAATGAGTTCTTAAAGGGCCAAAATAGTATTTAAAATAAAGCATTTTGGAACCTAAGGACATCTGCAGAATCTAGGTAGGTTTATCAGTTGACCATGAAAAGTCTGATATATATCTTTGCTGCCAGCTATGGCTGACCTCCAGGATCTCTATCAGGGAAAGACAGCTTTGAAGAGTCTGTTCTTATCTAACCCATCCCTTAATGTGGTGGCAGTTAAAAAGTAGCTCTGTTATATTGTGTTAAGGGATCCTGTTTTATATGGTTCATTTTGGCAGATAAGGGAACAAAGACACAGAAAGACATCTCTTACCCAAAGTAAATCATTGATATCTAACTCGAGTCAGAGTCGGGGCTCCCCTGATGGCTCAAGACAGTAAAGAATTTGCGTGCAATGAAGGAGACCTGGATTTGATCCCTGAGTCTGAAAGATCCCCTGGAAAGGAAAATGGCTACCCACTCCAGTATTCTTGCCTGGAGAATCCCATGGACAGAGGAGCCTGGCGGGCTACAGTCCATGGGGTTGCAAAGAGTCAGACACCACTGAGCGAGTAAGCACGAAGCTCATGTGAGTATCATAGTCAGGGTTGGATTTGATGTATTGTGGTCCTCATTCTGTATTGCTTCACAGCTTCAGTTCATTTAAACAATACATTAAAACTTTTTTTATCCACAGCCTGGTGTTGGGGAACCCTCAAGTGTCTGAACCTTTAGAAGGAAGTCTCAATGTTAGCATCCTTGAGACCTAAGAGTTGACTCTTCATTAATCCACAGTAGATAAGATGCATCCCAGAAAAACATTAACAGCTGAAAAGAACTTACTGTTGGATTCTGTGCTATGATGAAATCACCCAAAGAAAAAGTGTGTTGTTGACTGACTCGAAATGCTTTTAAAAGGCAAGCTTCTTCTCATGTATAAGCTGAAAAGTGAGGGGATTTATCCCCTGAGTACCTGTTGTATTCAAGA